TGGGGGGCGAGGGAGGGTCGGGTTGTTATGCTCTGGTGCGTGTTCAGTGGGGGATAAACCCTCCATGCTACAGTGCTGCCAGAAGACCCTTGCATGTATTAAACAGGATTTGGCTTGACAGAGACATGGAGACAAACAGGGAACAGAGCAATTTAGAGAGGCAGTGTAGCCTATGGTATTGAGTGGAGTTGGGCTCTATTCCTAGCTCTGCCTGTGAGTCATTTCATCACTGTTTCCATTCTGTCCTTCTTCTGCTTAGAACATGAGCTTTTTTGGGGCAAAGACTCTCTGTTATTAGTGTTTGCACAAATTGGGCCCTCCTGGCTATAGGACTCCAGGTGCTACTGAAATGCAAATAACAATAATCTCTGAGAAAAACATTAAGGGCAGAATCCTATTTCATTTTAAGTATCTAAATTGTAGGGGTGTATCTGCCATTTATGGCACTTACACATACCTTGTACTCTTACTTCATATGCAGTTTAGATGCATAGGCATCCACACGGCTGCTGAGTGTGGGCAGTAGGTTGCCTTTTGGCTAGACAGATACAGAAGTGCTGTGTGTATCTGCCCTGAGCAACACAAGATGCGAAAATGTGTTTGGCAAGAGCCTATTACTTGTGGGTATTAAATACAGGAAAAGGAGGTCACCCCCACATCTAAGCCCAGGAGCAAGGGCAGTTACTTAGGAAGCAGGAGATGGAGGGTCAAGGCCCCCTCACTCAGAGCAGATTTGAATCTACATTATCTCTAACTTCTCAGCACAGTGCTCCAGTGCTCGAACCCAGTGGTTAAACTATGTCTAAGGAGTCCGGAAAAGATGGCTATAATCAATCAAAAGTATGTGAATAACCACATTTACAATTCAAAGCTGTCCACATCTCCATTCAAAATTTCCAAAGGGGTCCACACTTCTCTCTAAAAATTTTAGGGGTCCACAAATGAAAAAAGGCTGAAATCCACTGCTCTAACCAACAGGTCACAGCTCAGGCATCAGTTAACTCTTCCTCCTTAGCCATTGTCTTGAAGGGGGTCCCCTGGGAAGCCAAAACAGTGAGAAATGTGGGGACAGGAGAATATGAGTAAGCTTGAAGGCATGTTTACCTCAGTGAGGTAAATGGCCCTCAGGAAGGGAGGGGACTCCAGGGTCTACCCTGTACCCTTGCTCCCACTGGGGCAGAAACTTCTCCAATGATCAAAGACTGTCCTCCTGGTTTTTTATAGGCCTTATGTTTAGGTACACAGGTACAGAGCTGCTTATTTGCCTGGCCAGAGCACAGCTGACTGAGGATGAGCTCCTACTCATCCTTGCTACACATGGAATGGGTATATAAGTGCCAAAGATAGCAGCTGGATGGGCAAGTGTCATTAGGAAGTGTGGCTGAAATAGGGTTTTGCCCTGAATCCAACTCCTCCACTGTTGTGCTGGAAATATTGAATAAAAGTAGTTTCCTACCCCAGGAAGAGCCCTCTACTCACCTCAGTCCATTATCTCATCTGGGATCTTTTGTTGAAGAAAGCACCAGATCAGTAAAATTCCCCCTTGTTCCCTTCCCCCTTGCTGCCTCTTGGCCTCCTCTGTGTCATGGGTATGTGTTCTCTCTTACAGATTAACCGGTGCATTCGACTGGTTGCTGACATCCTCAATACATCATTTCTGAGCACGATGGTTTGTGAGTTAAAGCTATTGCCCCATCCTCGAGGATCTCTGATTCTACCCCCCTAGGCTTTGTAACTGGCTACATGAGCTGATTCTTGCAGCATAAAAAGGTTCGTATTGGGTGAATACCACCCTTGGGAACTGGCTCCATGCAGAGCCTATGAATCACTTGAATCTGATTTTAAGGGCTCACACCTGCTTTGAAGATGAAGCAGTCAGGGTTAAAGCTGAGATCACAAACATGAATACAGGACAGATCTACTCCCAAGCAAGAAGAAATGGATCTTTAGTGATAAGAATCCTTAGTGTTTGATTGAGAGAACTCAGCCTGTTACAGGTCAGATTTCAGGAACCTGCATTTCCCCAGGTACCATGCTTGTGTTTAAGTAGATGATCTTCCTTTTTCCTTTGAAGCTGCTGTCCCAGTTGGAACATTTGGAAGTATCCAGTACAATCTACTGGGCTCCCCACGTGACCGATAAGTACTTTGAAATACCTTATCAAGTAAGTGTTGTTCTTGGCTGCTGTTACTGAACCTCAGAGGACAGGATGTTTTGTACAATTGCTAATACTTCTCTACCCTGGTGATTAGTCCTATGACAAACATCCTCCCCTGCTGCAGTCTTGAAAAATGCACCTTGTGGCAGGCCTGAGTCTGTCCAGCAGGAGGCTTTGAGTGCAGCCCATGCTCTGTGATGCTTGTTGGAAAGCATGTCCCAAGTCCCTTTGTTCCTGGAACTAAATTAGCACTAGTTTTATTTTGTTTATTTCGTGGCTCCCTGGTTCCTGAGTGGACAAATTACCTAGAATTGGTCAAGCAAAAGGGAACCCAAGCCAAACAGCCAATGGCACACAGGGGAGTGATGTAGCTGATAGCAAAATTGCAAGTTTTCTCTGATTAACCTCCACAAAATCTGTGATTAAAATGAAACACCACTAGTGTGTGTGTGTGTGTGTGTGTGTGTGTGTGTGTGTGTGTGTGTATACATATACATGTATATACACATATGCATCTGGGTTCCTTCTTTAACTACATGGAGAACAGGAGGAAACCAAATGGCAGCATGGGGCCATTGCTCAACAATTCAGAAAAGCTGTTTACCTGCACCCAGGAGAAAGCTAAACTCCTGAATGATTACTTTGCCTCAGTCTTTCCCCGGACCAAGGGGAAAACCATGTCAGGTAGAGGAGAGGATGAGCGTGGTAGAAATAATCGCCGTCCTACTATTGCCGTAGAATTGGTGTATGACCAGTTAATAAAATTAGACTTATACAAGTCAGCAGGACCAGATGATCTTCATCCAAGAGTGCTGAAGGAGCTTGTTACCAGATTAGCCCATCTCTTTGGGGTGTGCTCATTTATTAGGGATACGTTTCTAGGGTCTTTGTAATTCTATCAATGTTCTGCTTGTGTACTGGTGTTTCTATACAGAGCTATATATGTCCCTTCTGCAAGTCCTTGCCCCCAATGGAGCTATCTTGCAGGACTCGGTTTCAATGGGGTGGGTTCCTCTAGTCACCAAATCAGTCATATATGCACACAAATTAACGTGACATGCCTGACCTGGCTGGGTTGATCAGCATGGACAGGGTGACACCCTCATATGCCAGGAATCAGTTCATTAAGGTAACAATAAACTGCAGTCAGACACAGGAACACAGGTAAACAGAATACCTCTGAATCCAGCTGGGTGTCCAGCTGACACCCTCATGGCCCAGCATTCAGTTCATTAGGGCACGTCTGAGCCAAACTGGGTCAATCAGCCTGTAGAAGCTGATCCCCTTATGTGTTTCAAAAGGGGATGAGCAGAGCCCACAGTATTTCTGGGCTCCACAGGGATCTTTAGCTTAAGTAAAAGAGGCGTTGCTGCAGAGCAAGTGGGGAAGGAGAAGTGGAGGAGGAAACATACACCCAGTTATTACCAGTTTGACTATAAAAGTTATTTATTGCTAAATATATGAAATGTATAATGGTACTAGTAATAATAGACATGCAAAGGAAAACAATTACAATACTACCCTGGTTTCAGTAAGTATTTGGGGAAACTTAGCTCAAGCTTAACTAATACAATCCAGGTTCAGAAATCTATGCCTAGAGGGAAGAGAAAGAGAGAACGAGAGCTGGGAACTCACCAGTCCAAGACACTCAGGTTCCCATGCTGATAGGTAAAGTTCTTAGCACAATCCTTGAAGGGAAATGATCTGTTTTTTCCAGCTTCTCGGAAACAACAGTGGATGGTGTCAGAGAGATTTCTCTTGAAGCACACAGGTTGCCGCTTTTAAATATTTTTATACCCTCAGGTCAGCTTCTTCAAAGCATTCGTTTAATTGTGTAAATAATTGTCTTTTCTATTGACAAGGGGTTATCTGATTTGGAACATCTCAAGAAACTGATCAATAACCAGGAAAACGTAAGGTTAAGGAGTAACCAGACACTTAGGAGCCCGCTTGAAATTCTTATGGATAGCAGATATACTGGATGGGATACCTCATTGTTTCTTCAGAAACAATGGATAGCTTGCAGCGTCAAGTTTTTGTATTTTTACCTGTTGTGAATAGGCCTCAATTTAGCATGACTTTTCCGGACCTTACTGTAGTCTTTTAACAGGCTTAAGGGAATTATTGGAGTGTTCATAAACTTTGTGGGGAGGACTTTCACCAGTCATTCCAGGAAAAGTATGACAGCATTTGTGGTCAGGGCTCCAACAGGCTGGATGCTGTGATGAACCCTTGACCATTGTTCAAATGTTGTCCATACCTCCTCTGACTCGGTTTCTTTTGCCTCATCATTCCCTAACCCAGCAACCGAGTTTTAGTCAATCAAGTTTAGATAGGCCTCCCATAGTCGGACCGGGGAATGTGTGGCCCGAGATGCCTATTAAACTTTACTTCTGCTTAGTTCTGGTTAGATGAGGGGTGTGTGTGTGTGAGAGGGAAATAGAAAAAGTCCTTTGTAAATCCAGATTAGAACTGGTCTGATAAGTGCTGAGCTGGGTGTGTGTAAATGTGGGTTGATTAGCATTTGGAGCACAGATTCCCCATCATGCAGCTCTCCCCTGCTTCTCTGATCCCAGAATTCACTGTAGTCTTTGCTTTGGGCTTTCTCTTTTGCCTCTCCCATGTAAATGAATTGTCATCTGGTTCCATTTCGGATGCAAATGAGACCTAGGGCAGTTGTTTCGTTGCCACCCTTATCTGGAGGGCTTTAGGTGCGTCTCCCACTGCATCTTCATTGTCTCTTGTAATTGGTTCTTGTTCAGGTAGAGAAGGGGAAAATTCTTTCCGAGTCAGACAGGCTGTGTCTTGTGCCAGGGTTCCCCAAGAACACGGAGCTGAGAGGTAACAAGCTGGCTGAAGTCATTGTGGAACACCTGGCGAAACTCTTCTACAACTCGTGGAGCTCTGGAGAAGTCCCTGAGGACTGGAAGAGGGCCAATGTTGTGCCCATCCACAAGAAGGGCAGGAGGCAAGACCTGGATAGTTATAGGCCAGTCAGCCTAACTTCCATCCTAGGGAAAGTCCTAGAAAACTTCATCAAGGAGTCTATCTTCAATGAGCTTGCAGAAGGTAAGATTCTGAATGACAGCCAGCATGGCTTCATTGCAGGCAGGTCTTGCCTTACCAACCTCATCTCCTTCTATGACCAGGTAACTCGCCACCTGGACATGAGAGCAGGTGGACATTGTATAACTAGACTTCCAAAAGGCCTTTGATCTAGTATCCCACAATGTCCTTGCAAGAAAATTGGAGGATTGTGGACTTAACTCCAAGACAGTCAGTTGAGTGAGAAACTGGCTGCAGGACAGAACCCAGAGAGTCGTAGTGAATGGATCTGTGACATGCTGGTGAGAAGTGGGCAGTGGTGTCCTGCAGGGGTCAGTGCTTTGTCCAGTACTTCATTATCTTTATTAATGATTTGCATGTGGGTGTGAAGAGCTCACTGGCCAAGTTTACATACAACACCAAGTTATGGGGAAGCATGGTCACGCTTGAAAATAGCCTACAGTTACAAGCAGACCTAGATAGGCTAGCAAGTTGGGTGGACTGGAACCTGATGAAGCTCAACGTTGAGAAATGTAAAGTACTCCACCTTGGGACAAGCAACCTCCGACACACCTATAGGCTTGTTGGCACCAAACTGACTAGCACCACAAATGAAAAGGACCTGGGGGTAACAATTGACCACAGTATGAATATGAGCCAGCAGTGCAATGCTGCAGCTAGTAGGGCAAATAATACTCTGGCATGCATCAATCAATGCATCTCCAGAAACCAAGGAGGTGATTCTTCCACTCTACTCAGCACTGGTGAGACCACAGCTGGAATACTGCACCCAGTTCTGGGCACCACACTTTAACAAGGACGTGGACAAGTTTGAGAGAGTCCAAAGTGCTGGGTTTCCCTCCCCAGAGAAAGGGTCCCAAGTGTCACGGTGGAACCTGAACGAACAGGCTGGGTCTAGCGGAGGTGGAGTTCTGAGTGACACGGAAGCTGGATGTTCCTTAATTGAATGGGTTTATTAACTTACGCTTGGTAGAGCGCAGGTACGGAGTCTTCAGTTACAGTTAATAACGCACAACAGGGGGGACCTGTTGTCCCACGGGGTTCGCCGACAGGCCCTTGCTTTCTACTCCCGGTGCCGGAGCCCGGGAATAGGTGCGGCTGCCTGTCAGGTAAGTCCCAGGGATGGTCAACAGTTTATAAAGGAAGACAAATAAC